CTGTACTTGAGAATACAATTTTTGTATTTCTTTAAGGCATGGGCTACCAGGGATTCCTTCAATGAGTCTATCAGAACATTTTCCATTCAATCCGAGGAATCCAACTACATCTGAAATTATTGATATCCTCACGTGCCATATTTTGTATGATTTCTACTTCAAGATCTTTGTATTTTGATAGTCTTTTGAAGATCTTTAAATATACATTACTACAGCGATTTCCACATTAATAAGAAAGCACATTCTGCTTTTGTAGTTTTTGAGCACGATGTCTGGATGATTAGATTTCTTTTTTCTGTCTGAGTGTATTGTAAAGTCCCATAAAATTGTAAATGGTCCTATCTCTGTAACCGGGTCAAGGTGTTGTTCATACCAGTTTCTTGCAGTCTCCTTCCCTTAAAAGTTGCAGATATTTCAGTGCAGATATTGGCCCATTCTACCATGCCGAGTTTTATTTTCAGTGCGTGTATCACCGGGTAACCTGATACAAGATGGTCAATTGTTTCTAGATATTTATCACAGAGTCTACGTTTAGGGTTAACACAATTTTTTGGTATGTGTGCTTGGTAATTTCTAGTTAGCAAGCAGTGATCCTGTACATCAAAAATAAAACCTTTGGTTTAACACTGTGCAACGTAACCACTGAGGGATACGGGGTTTGTTTCCATCAAATTGTTTGGCATAGGCAAAGTATTGACCATAAAGAGGCTTATCTTGCCATTGTTTCTGCATTTGCATTTGCATTTGTTTTGTGTTTTAATTTGCTGCCGTAAGTGTTTTATGGTTTATTTACACTTCTTCCTATAATTGAAATTCTCTCTTGAATTTGTTGCCTTTTTTACTGAAGAAAGTTTCTCATTTCTTTCGTGTTCTTTGACACAGATCATCGGTAGTAAGTAAAAAGTTTTCTCGTTTTGACCTCCATACGCATAATGTCAACTACGGTCCCATTAAGGATGTTGAAACTATATTGTCCCACAGGAACAGCCAACTTGTTTATGGCTGATATTCTCTTTTGTGAATTCAACTTGGTATTTAATATCAGATACACACGCCTATAGTATTCTTTTTCTTACTTTCTCCTTCATTTAGCTATGCTGTATTTCATCTTTTTCCCTGATTCCTTCGTATTTATAGGCTTCTTCTTGTCCCAGTTACCTAATCCTTGTGACAATTTTTTATAATTCTCCCTTTCTTGAATGTTACTTTTGCCCATTTATCTAATCCGAAATCCATACCGATGTCAACACTGAAACATTTTAAAGTATTGAAAATACCCTTCAACTTATTGTCGTCATTCAGAAAGAGTTTGATATCATCCATATAGAATAGATGATTAAACATTTTCTTTTTTTACTTTGTATCTATACTTATTACTGTTTGGTTCATGAGAAAGAAGGATTCAGGACAGAACAGAACAGAAGGGAAGCAAGAGATTTTATCCTTCAAAGATTCCTCGTCAGATATTCAAACAATTGGAAGTGGCAGTGCCTTTTGTGTGATTTACGCATAATGTAGTGTTCCACATTTCCATGCTATATTTACGGAACTTTACTATGACTGAGAAGACTTGTACATTTTCAAAGACTTAAGAATCCACAAGTGTGGCACACGATCAAAATCTTTACGATAATATATCCAAGCTGTACTAAGATTTTTAATCTTTTCCTTCACTTTTCCAGGATCATTATATTTACTAATATCTTTGCAACCATATGAACCTCTTCGACATGCCTTCTATTCTAGAAGAGGAATGTTGTTTTCATCAAGAAAAGTGTACGTATTGTTCATTAGGACAGATGAATTTATATGTTGTGGACAGATATGTTATTGGCCCAAATTTTTTTTTTGGGGGGGGTGTCATCTGCTTCAACCGTTTTTGGTAGGAGATATATATGACCTTTAGTCATCTAGTCTGAAATTTCATTGGCTTTATTAATTAGCATTAATAAAGTTTGCGCAACTATTTTATGAATTGATGATAGAGCCAAAAGTTGGGAACCTTGTCATTTCATAGGGATTTCCACTTTTCGGATTTTGTCAGTGCTTGCTTAACATTATTCTTCGATATGTTTTTCCATTCTTCTACAGGTTTATCCTTCATTCTATCTTGTTCAAGTTTGATCCACTATGCATTTGGAGTATATTCTTTTTGGTTGCTCCAAATATTCTCCCAAAAGTATTACACTTTTTCAATTGTTGGTGGCTTTCTTTTACTTTTATAACTGCTTTTCCAGCGTCCCTGTAAAGCTGCTTGAGATCCGTTTGGAATATCTTATTTTGGTGATAGAACCTCAAACAGTTTTATTATTATTATTATTATTATTATTATTATTATTATTATTATTAGTTTTCTTAGATGCAGTCTTAATATCGAGTAATTAATACATATATAGCGAGTCACAACCTAACAACGATCATACAATTTTCTTCTGACGTCAAGTGTCCATCACTTTCCCAGTTATTCTTTCCGTTCCTAAGAGGCTTCCTTTCTTTAACAGTTCCGCTCGACAATCAATGCCAATTTTCTCCATTATAATTATTAATATTATTTCCAGTTTTCCTGATTTGGTGTTTGACACAATCCAATTCGTTTTACCTGAGACCTCTAGTAAAAGAAAAAATTTTCTTAGAAAATCATTGAAATTATTATATTGAGAGAAATTTTCTCATTATGTCAGCGTTTCTCGTGAATGTTTGTTTCGGATAGTAATGGCTTTCCAGGGATTTTTTCTATCTGTCTGTCAGGATTTTAATCATTCCTATGTTATTATTACTAGAATAGTGACTGTTTAAATGCTCCATATATTACTGATATTTATTATTATTATTTCTATTATTATTATTATTATTATTATTATTATTATTATTATTATTATTGAAATAAGCATTTGCTCACAAATGCAGACGATTGGCATTGTTGAAAGAAAGACGTAAATACCACCACCACCAACAACAACATAATTGAAATACAAAACTAATCAGTTGTAAATATAACGTTTTCCCCCTCCTCCTTTTTTTTCTCGATTTAGCAAAAGGCAAGCAATCACAAAGTTCCGGCCTCCTAGTACAAAAATGGCGTCTGACTGTAAATGAGATATCAACAACGAAAAAGACAACGGTAAATCATTTTGGTAATTAAATCGTCGTTTAATTGTTGCCTTGTTTCTTTTGGTATTCCGTTAGGTTTTTATTGTTTCTATTCTAGGCGAAGTCTGAAGCGATAAAGTTTCCCAAGCCGGAGTCTTAAAAAAAGATTCCGTCGATAGCATTGCTCAGCTCGTTAACACGTTACATATTACAATTACAATAATAAAGTTTAACTTACTACAGCAGAAGGTGAGATTGAAAAATAATACTTGAAATCCTAGCTTTTTCTTTTTGGTCCAAAAACAAAACATTAATCTGGAATCTCGAGTCATGTTTATAAATAGCTTTTTATCAAATCGAGACTTTCATATAAATGCCATGCATGACGCTAAACCCGTTCAGAAATACTGTCGGCAGCATACAAGCGCTTTCTCAGATCAATGGTGAAAAAAGGCTTTGAGCGAATGAAGCAAGGAAACTCTTGGCCTGGCGTTACAGAATCATAAAGAACTGTACCAAATAAGAGACATGACTTGATAATTTTGAACAACAGCAACAAGAAAAATAAATAGAACATGTAACTCGAAAAGTGACTAATGACGTAATCAAGATGTTGACTTTCCAGAGAACTTCAAACAAAATGTTAGGAAGGAAGTATCTACGAATACTAGAATAAGCGATAACAATTATGGACTTGATTTTATAAATTTCATTCGGTCAATGAATGTCGAATGTTTCCTTATAAGTAAACAAATAATATTACCATTCCGAGTAGCATGCATTATACCAGTCCAAATATGCAAGTATCTAAAGCTATAATTTTTTTTTTTATACGTCAGTTAATCTTTAACGAAGAACCCCGAATAAGAACAGAAGTTATTAGATGATCGAATATTCTATGCGACACTTTTGCCAAGAAGCGGGTCACATTAGGCGCCCATTGTTTACCATCTGCTGCTTCTAAACTTGAAACTATGGAATATTATAAATTACATAAATGTGAAAATCTTCCCTGGCAGATCATTCGAGTGTATCTTACCCTAGCTGCCAACTGACCATTTTTTTCTGTTTTAAGTGACATATTTGACCAATCAGCTGTGAATGAGCGATCATCAGAGAATTCCTAATACTCCTGTTCGAATCAAGAAGTCAGGCGGTAAAAGAAAAAACGATTGAGTGGAATATTAGGGGATTTGAGATTTTCTAATGTCACGTCCCTTCATAAAGTATGCGATGATGGCTTTCCTCAGATTGCTTCTTTAAATTTAAACTTATGTGACTACATGGGAAAGATAGTGTAGCAATTCTCCAATGTCTAATATCAGAGGTGTCCTTCTCTTAGATTGGCTACCATCAAAAGTTCAAGGGTCACGACTACCCTGTTATTATACCCGGAGTTGGTCACGATATATTAGCTAAAAAAATGATGCCTTTATTACATCAGTGAGGAAGTTACGTGGTACACGCTTGGACGATCATGTTTCTTTCGATTCATGACTGACGAGACAGAAAGTTTTCTCACAGTAGGTTACCATTACTTTTTGCGATAATTTGGTTGCCAATCCAGTCTGTCCTGCTATTCAATGGATAGCTGGTGGAGAGTAGAGGCAGATTTATACCTTTACCAGGAGTATTTGCAAATAAGTGATTGTAATGAACACTACTGGAATTCGAACTCGTCTCTCCGATTTCTCATTTCCGGCTGTTATCCTTACCCTGCCGCACATCCACATGGACTTATTAAATACAGAGTTTATTTAATGTTCAGTTAATTTTGCTATTAATTGCTTCATTGCTTTCATTCATAAATGTAATTTATAATTTAATACTTAAATGACGTCATCACTTCCATACTAAACTAGAATGATGGAATGCGTATATATTTTGGAGTTGTCATTTTGTCGATGAATATGTCAGACTTTTTCTCTATCTCTTCTCTCGTTCCCTTTACCACTCTAGTCCTCTCTCTCTCTCTCTCTCTCTCTCTTCTCTTTCTCTCTCTCTCTCTCTTCTCTTTCTCTTTCACTCAATCTTTCTCAGTTTCTCGTACTCACATCCTTTCTCTGTGTTGTGTCTAATGGCTTGCATTGTGTACAGCAAAATGATATTTGTCATTTGTCTCACTAATATATAACCGGTAATTCCTGTTAAGACCAGAAATGGAAATGGTATCATCTTCTGCATTAGATTGTTAAAAAAAAAACAACTTTGTTTTTGAAAAATAAAAATAAAAAAAATACTTCTGTAAAAGACGTTTCAATATATCGATAAAGTGTGAACTACTAACGGACTTATTTAGCCAATGAATAAGTTTATTTCTCTTCCTGCCCATAACATTTCTGAAGTCTCTTGCTTTTCTCTGTCAATGAAAATTTGTAGTAGTCAAAAATATTTGAAAGCGTGATAATGAGAAATGATAAGTTTGTAGAATAGGATGAAGCAACAATCTTCCATGTCTTCTGCTACAATAAATTTTAGGCTAAAAAAAAAATTGACATTTTTGCAATCGACATTTATTACTCGACATACTAATCATAATAGCGAATTTCAAAGATCAGAATTTTCATCCCGTAGAGAAAAATTAGCAGTTGTCATTTTGATAAAATATAAATTTCTTTTTTAGATTGATCATTGCAATAGATAACAATGTACTTATATTACAGCCTAAACATTAATGACACTTTACTTTTCAGAAGAAACAAATACAGAGAACCAGTGCACATAGCGTGTTACAGGGTCTACTAACGAACATATAAATAACTTTGAATTCTAGATTGGTTGCCAAACATCGTTAAAGATCCCAGTCTACCCTACTATTTAACCCATAAGGGGAGACGAAGAGATGAATTCATACTTTTCCCAAGGATATTTGGGCTTAAGTCAATATAAAGAACTCGACTGGAATTCGAACCTCCGAACCTCTTATTCCAAGCCGCTATTCTCTTATAACAACTGCACATCAGTGAAAACAGCTCTCAAAGCGAGGGCATCTATTGCAACCATTACTGAGCGTTTGGTTCATTGCTATTCGTTAATTACTTTTAGAAAGCTATGACAAAGATTAACACTTCCGGTAGCAACAGTTTTTTGAGGTTTTTTCATAGCGAAAATGAAAACATGGACAAATTACGCGTTTTAGGAATTTTATTTCTGGAAACTAGTTAGCATGATATTGAAGGAAGGCATTTTACTGAATTGTATAAAAGTTACGGAATAACTACAATCTCTGGAATTGGGAAAGTTTGAATAATGATGATCTGCATCAACAACATGCAAAATATGCAAATCTTTTGTTTAATATTTGTTCTACGAAATCAACAATGTTAAAAGCAAAATATTTGCCTTACTTTTAATTTAATGTAAACATAAATGTTTCCTTTTATAATGCAAGATTCGAAATAGATTTTTTTTACATCTAGTCAGGCAAGGCATGAAACTTAATCGAGTTTTTCATCTTTAATTTATCCACGACTAAAAGCTGATAAAATGCAGTGGGACAGTCAATCCTGAACATCTGCATATGAAATCGTCGATTATAACAAGACTTAATTGAAAAATAATTATATATATATATATATATATATATATATATATATATATATATATATATATATATATATCAAATTTTAGGGAGTCACATATTTACTTCATAGTGTCAATGTGTGAGTTTTAACTCGCGAATAATTATCAAAAAGTCCTATTAAAAATTGAATATTCGTGCAAATTAATTGCTTGATAAATATAACGAATGTTGGGAATTAATATGCATTAGGAAATTAAATAATCGGCAAAATGCCTGGTCTTACATTCATGAAGGATTGATTTTACGATTATTAGCGAGATGAAAAATTGCATCTAATGAGTATTTATTGTGTGCTGCATTTTTTTATTAATATTTCGTTTTAAGTATTTTCTCTATAACGAATTTTGTCCATTATTTAATGGGGAATTATTTTAATGGTGTAGTATTTTATGGGGTAGTATTTTAATGGGCTAGTATTTTTAATGGGGTTGTATTTTTAATGGGGTGGTATTTTTTTTAAATTAGCCATTAATCAGATCAACTCTATTTCTTTTAACGACAACACCACAGACAAATCGGCCATTCTTTTTCGAAAGCACAATTGAGATAAGTGTGAGAGCGGTTTAGTATTTCTCCATTGACAGAGGGAAAGTCTTCGAATGCTGTTCTAGCAAGAGAATAGGCAGCAAAGGAATTGCTCTTTAATCATCTCTGATAAATCAACGCACAACATAAGCGGGGGTTATTTTCTGCTTGGCGTCTCACATGGAATATTTCCCAGAGAGAAAAAGAAACCTCATCATAAAATGGTTTCAGGATAATAGTCTACTTACTCCATCCAAGTGAAAATCAAATTGACGCAGGTCGATCAACAGAAGTGACAATATTACTTCTTCATCTTTCTTTCATTTATTTAATATCTTCTTTTGAATGATTCAATTTGGAAAGAATTTAATTTCTCTTTTTCGGTTGTGTAAACCAAAATGTTGAACAAATCCATATTCACAACGATTTGCTGGAAAATCTGATTTCGATTTGTTGATTGAATAACGATAAAAGTCGATAATATTTCCATTATTCTTTGGATTTGGGATTAATGAGTTGTCTGAAGAATTAGCCATGTCAAAGCGGATGACACATTGTAGCAGAAACTTACCTCATTTGCTGAAGAGCGAAGAGGCTTTCCATCGAGTTTATAGTGTAATTTAGTTTTTTTACGGAACATTAAACAAACCTAATAACCTGACACTACATACATACGCATGTACACGCACGCGTACACACACCTAAACTATCGTAAAGATGCCTGTCGTAGAATAATGATGTGAAAGCTAATTTGAAAATTCATTTCTTGTAAAATAAATACGATTCTCACCATGTCCTCCTCTAAATTGATCTTGTGCCAGACAATGCTACGATATGTAAATAAGTGACAGCCATTAAATGGAACACAATTCTCTAAAATTTCGATCTTCACAAGGCACCTATATTACCTTGGCCATGTACCGGATTAATCATAGTGTATCCTTTTGGTCTAAATTTGTCATACAAACTTGTGAACGAAACCAGACCAAAATGGCCACGATTTAATACCGCCAAGTACTGACTGTAATTAAATATGTACTTTTGTATATGCATTGACACTATAAATCTATATATTCTGATGTCTAACTATTCTTAGACTTATACAATATAAATAAAATTATTTAGCCTTAATTTATATAGAGAGAGTTAAATGTATTTTCTATCTTGATTAAAAGTGTTGCAGTTGTTCTCTTACAAGTTTCGTTAAAAACGACTGACTGCGATTATGATTTTTATTTAATTTTTTTCTTGTGTTCGTCCAAGTGTTTTCTTTTCTTGACACACTGTGTAAAAACTGTCCAAAAGTTTTGCTTAATATTTTAGCCGCTATCAATACTTTATATGTAAGTATAATAGTCTCAACAACATATAAAAAAGATTTAAAATAATAGAAGCACTAATAATAAAAAATGAAAAGCCAATACTCAGTAACATTTACTATGAACACGTCCACAACGTTCTGACCGTGTTTGTAAAATAAAGCATTCCTATAACTTCTGACGCATAAAAAACACCTTCAGTCAAAAATAAAAGGTCATAAATTTAACTCATAAATATATCATATCTGAAAACTGCTTTTATCATATATATATAGTGTTCCCTTGACACTTACGTGTTTAATTCGTTCCGTGACGGTGCTCGTAACTCAAATTACTCATAATCGATTTTTTCATGCTTCTACGGCAGTTTTCATGTAGTTTGCGGCCATTTTGTACTGGCCGGAGTGAGAGCCAGTAACTGGTTGCCACGATAGGCGGTAAGATTCTATTGGCCAGCGTGAGAGCCAACACAAATGTTAACTAGCATGCTAACATGCAAAAAAATCGATAGCTGCATTCTTCACAAGTGGGAAAAATTTAAATCTGCATGGCACTTTACTCCAATTGGCTCATTCACTTGCTTAAACTCAACGTTGATTCTGATTCCGCAGAACTGGGTTGGGTGTGAAAAATTTGTTGTTAACATTCTTTTTTTTCATTCGGTTTTTCCAGTTACGAGTCCTTTTTTCAAGCTGATCGTTTTGTGTTCATTTTGTTTAGTTCTTTTTTTCGTAACAGATTTAATGTAGTATAGAGCTTCGGAAAAAAATTCGCAGTGTGAGATAGGCAAGAAGTAAGGCATGTAGCAACATCAGCACGGAAAAGCGCACTCCTTTAAAGGCAAGGAAGGGCAAAAATATTTTAAGTCAAGTGATAGCGATTGCTGTATGAGTCGTACGATTTTTGAATCAAGCACGGGCAACACCGGGACGGGCTGCTAGTATTGTATAAAAACATAATGCAATAGAATGTACTGCAATAAACTGGTTTTATTAAGTATAATGTATAGCATTTGCCTTGACGTAAGTACAAGAGAAAGGCTGAACTGAATTCGCAGATTTTTGCTCTTTTCACCACACTTTCCACACTATCATCTGCAAGGGTTTTCGATAAAAAAAAACCTTGTCCAATGAGGTCTGTTTCATCCACCCTTTCAGAATTTTTCTAATAAGTTAGGCAAGTGTCATTAAATAAAGCCGTCGCACACCAAGTTGCAGCTTTGTCCCTGTGTTTCTTTTGAATGTTTCTCTGACATTCCTAATATTTCTTTTATCTCAATTGTAGAGATAGCATTCTCTGCCTTCTCTGTGTCACATATTTCCTTCAAAACCCTCCATGTGCTGATGTGTCTGTAGCTGCTTTAGCTACTCGATGAGTTCACTGCAGTCACCTGCATTCATGTCCTGGCCGGTGGACTTGTCGAGGGATACAATCTTTTCCAACACTGCCGTTTCGTGTTCGTGTCTTTCAAAGTCCGTTTCAGACACAACCCCAGGCCATAGGTTCTTTTACGCTTTTTGTAACACCTTGTTAAGCCATATCGATAATTCTGAGGCGTATCACGATGTTAGAGTCGTCCTTCCAGATCTCTCGAAGGTTTTTCGTTCTTCATCACCTCAAAGCAGCGACGGAACGAGCAATAGCCTTTGGAATAGTATGAAGCCCTCAGCTATGGGTAAATAACCAGACAGACAAGATCCTATAGCATTGAGTGGGGCAAGGTTAAAGCCAACTCAGAATTCAGAACCTGATGAGGATCCTCCAGAATATATGGTTCGTTCTACACAAACGTTCACTAATATAATTGAATTATATGTAAGAGTAGTTTGCCTCTTCGGTTCTCACAACTGAGTTACTGTTGTCTCATATGTTGAAAACGACAATATATATATATATATATATATATATATATATATATATATATATATATAGTACAGGCAATCGATACCTTGGTATATATCCCGGGTGGATTATGGTAATATTAATTATTAAAACAGATCCACAGAGAGCTCGATGTATTTATTATAACAGAGCACATGTATTTTTTACACCAAAGAACAAAAATTACCTCAAATGAGGATAATCTATTTCAAGCTGCTCTGTACGCAGCTGTCATCAGCCCCTAAATGATTGTCTCGAAGCATTGTTTTGAATTTATTTTCATTTTCAGTCCTCCTCTGGTAGACGCCTCGTTAATGAGAAGGGGGCTTGTGTCAGCGACTGGGAATGGATTAAGGTATCTTAAAGGAAGCTGTCTGGGGGTTGGAGTTTATTTATGGCTAGAGACTTTCATTGTTTGTTGCTAAATATCGGTTCCTACTATGTGGAGTTTCTTATACACACCCCAAGTGTGTTTTCATGAGATTCATGGTAAATAGTTTTTATACTGCAAGGTGCCAATATTATAAATAAGTGATGGGGGGATTTAAACTTAAACCCGTTAAGATTAATGGAAATTAGTTAAATGAAAGATTTATAGATTGGGGGTAATACCAGCCAAGAGAATAAAACATGCTGTCCAACACACTTATATGCGTACATATCTTCATGCATACACATATGTATTATATACATACATATATGCCACTATACGCACACACACACACACACATATATATATATATATATATATATAGTTTTAAAGTACGCTATATTTATAAGATAAAGTGGTCAATATCAGAGATAGAGCGTATGTAGATATAAAAGTGAACATTGAAGTCAATATTCAGAGGCAACAGACTTTCATGCTAAACGCAATCATCAGGCCATATGGGTTGTGTATTTTTTTTTCGACTTATTATATATGCAGGCCAGTGGTGCATTGTGAGTAGTCTATTCTAACGGCTATTTTTATAATAAACATATTAACAAACCATACGCGCCAAAATAACCGTTAGAATAGACCACAACAATCAATCAAAAAACTGCAAACTCTGATTGAATAAAATAGGATATATAAAAATATATGAAATAAAAATAAATAAGAAAAAATAAATGCAATATATTAATCGAAATCAATAAATAAATAATAAACAAATTAACAAACCACTCCCGCCAAAGTAACTGTTATAAAAGACTATCCACAATGTACCACTGACGCGTATATATAAAAATCTAGAAAAAACACAACACATATGACCTGATGATTGTATTTAGCATGAAACAGTCTGTCGCCTCTGGGTATTGATTTCAATGTTTACTTTCGGGCCACCAAAACACCGCAATTATTATAATTATATATTTAATATAATATGTTTTTAGGATAATTTTTATGACGAGATCGGGCAAAGAAAAATTATCAAAATTGAAAGATTAGATGTAAAATGTAGATATAAAGAAAGATAAATGTGAATTAAGATTTAAACGTTAAGAAAATGCATACAATCAGACATATACACAGACACAAATATATATATATATATATATATATATATATATATATATATAATTCAGAGAGAGAGAAAAGGAGTTAGTAAAAAAAAAGAGTGATTGAGAGAGAGACAGAATAAAGTAGATAAGAAGACGAAGAGAGAGATGAGAGAAGAAAGAAAAAGGATTGGAGAGAAAGGAAAATAGAGATAGAGAAAATGATAGTGAGGAGATAACATTAAAGAGTGATCAGTTTCTCCCTTTTCTCGTTTAACTGAGAACAGTGAAATAAAAAAAGATAGATAAGGCGTGAGTAGAGGAAAATGAAATGAAGTAAGAGGAGTGAAAAATGAAGAGAGAGTAAAGGAGAGAGGAATGCAAAATAAAGAGAGAAAGATTGAGAATAGAGAAATGATGAAAAATAGGAAAAAATTAAAGAGAAAGTAAATGAAAATGAAAAGTCATTATAAATAGAAAGGATGAACATTTCCATCAAAATCTGGGCAAATATTTCGTTTGCTTTTCAGCAAGATTTGGAGCTATTTGCTCAAAAAGAATCTTGTAAGTACATACACACAAAGGAAAGCGAGAAACGAACATTCAAGCCAAACCTACACGTACAAATAAGTAGATCATATAAGCACACGTACAGAATCTTCATAGTAGAAATATACACATTAAACTCATCTAATATATTTGCATACACATACCTCCAAACGTTTATATACGGATGTAACCTTACTTAAACAAACTTAGAAATGCCTACTATGTGGTAGGACATCAAAACAAAAGCTTAAGTTGCTAATTTTGTAAATATCTGATTTGGCAGTCACGGTAAGAGTATTTCTTTCTTTCTTTCTTTTACTGCTTCTACAGAGAATGCAGAAATGTGCCTTCTAGTTGAGTTGGTTGTGTACTTTCTATTCGGCCTTGGATTGCTGATTTTCCAGGTAAACACATACTCCCACTTAGAAGAGTGATGCAATCCTATCACTCTATACTTTTGTTTTCACTCAAATGACCTTTCTTTGAGTGGTCATGCTAGCTAGCTCTCTATCTCTGTATCTGTCTCTGTCTCTGTCTCTCTCTCTCTCTCTCTATCTATCTATCTATCTATCTATTTATCTCTATATATAAAACAAGTAATACTTTTTGATGTTTGGTCGTTGTTTAGTCAGATTTTAGGAAGATTCTTTCAGCCCATCTCCGAATGTATGTACATATGTATGTATATTGTTACTATTATTGATATCAAAATATAAAAATTCAGGATACCTATCTGTAGATAGATAGATGCAGAAATATGTTTTCTTTATTTTTACTATTACTCATTCCGAATTTGATTTGATAATATCTCTACAAATAGAGTAAATAAAACATAATAAATAAGAGATAATAATAATAATAATAATAATAATAATAATAATAATAATAATAATAATGTAGCATTTATTCTTTTAAATGTTACTTTGCGTGTAGTTTGCTATGACTGTAAATTCTTTTGACTCCAGCTAATTCTTTCCCTTTCAGCTCCCTCTTCTTTTCTTTTTTTTTGTTTAACGTATATTTCAAATTTTCGGTCCCCACCCCCCGACCTTAAGCGGACATCCGTGTCCATTTTTCACTTTATTTTTCACTTTTTCTCTCTTACTTTAAGCATCCCAAATCTCTGTCGTTGCGTATATGTGTACATGTTTACTAATATCTATCTCTCTCTGTCTGTATGTGTGTGTGTGTGTGTATATATATATATATATATATATATATATATATATATATATATATATATATATATATATATATATATAATTTACATGTGTATGTATCCGCATTGACAGGGATCATATTGTATTTATCTTTACCATTTTTTTTTTTTTTTATTTTTTTTTTTTTTTTTATAAGTCTATATACTAAAATGCATTTATTCCCCCCTCTGGAGTGGTCACTCGGACTTATACTAAGTTAAAACTTACTATAGTCTACCCCACTTAATACCACACAATCTTTTGAAATATTCTCTTTATATCAATAAACCCACAATCTCATTGTATGGGCGTGCTCCTGGATCTTCTTCGAGATTCGTCCTACAGCTGGTAATCTGAACATAACTACCCCTTGGCGGTCAAGGTTAAAACGCATCTCTACTAATTTCAATGAATACGAATAATACTTCATACCGGATCGGCCGTCAACTGGGGCAACAAGGGCCGCGTCACTCAGAGAGGAACCAGTCTGAGAACGAAAAGTCTGCCACTGGAACAAACTCTTCCACACACGAAGAGACACTTGGTCACCAAAACCGGATTATTGCCAACCTTGGACCAAGTGACTCTATGCAAAATCGACTAATAAAAAGTAAACGAACGAAATGGAGCCGCGAAGAGTATCGACAAGTCATGACATCCTTCTTCACTGCACTCGAAAACCCAGCAAAGAACACCACCAATCAAACATACCAAATATGGAGAAGTACGGTGGGAAATGATGTAAGACCTAACCTTAATCCAAACATGCTTGCCAATGTCCGTAGGGACATCATGCAAAACAACAGACTCTCACAGGCAGAAATAGATAAGATAAAATTACATATAAGACAAAATACTATGACCCATCACTCAAACTCTGTTGAGGCGAATGTAGAATTAAGGAATGCAACAGAGTATGGGGTGGATGCTGGAGAGAATGAAGTACGGAATAATCTCCCAGGAAATGAAACCCAAGACTCTACCTTAAACACAACCTACAGTCCTCCAGAAACTGCACCTGGAGTTATCTTCAGTGACAATAAGTTACAATTCCTTGAAAACCACGGAGCTGAAATCACCGAAGCGAAAAATGACGTCACCCAAGTGCTCAGCAGAGTAACATTCACACAATTGTCAGACAGAGACCAGCTCCCGAAAATCCATATGACGAACTCCAACAGGCACATCGTGAAAATATACAATGCTGCTCTGGAAACACTGTTAACAGATAAACCACCGGGAAACATCACAGAAGTTAACAACGTCATATACGCCACAGCTTTAGCAGCGACTCGGAAGCTTGGAGTCAAGACAATAAATAAAATTAACAGACACAGAGAACCAGCTTGGAAAACCAAACTGATTCGAGAAATACAACAAATCAAATGTGAGCTTTCTATATTAGATGAGCTCACCAGAAACCCTAATATTTCCACACGTAAATTCAAAAAGATCAAGCGGAAATATAACATTAAATCCCTAATTGATATTCCATCAATCAAGGAAATGCTGAAGCAGAAACTTCAGCTGAAGGCGCAGAGAACAAGACGATACGAAAAACGTTGTAGGTTCTATCGCCAAAATAAAATATTCCGAACAGATCTTAAGAAATTTTACAGGGACATTGGAAAAACACCTATACATGTCGAAAGGCCACCATCGATTGATAATGTACAGACATTCTGGGAAAATATCTGGAGCAGCCCAAAGGAGTATAACCCAAATGCAGAGTGGATACGGCGTGAAGAAGAACGAATGCTGGATACACCTCTGCAAGAATGGGAAAATATATCCACAGATGATGTTAGGCAAGCTCTAACGAAATCCCAAAAGTGGAAATCCCCAGGAAGTGACAAGTTGCCCAATTTCTGGCTGTATCATCTCACATCTACCCATGAAATTCTTGCAAAAACATTATCAACGCTTGTTAATAATCCCTATGAAACCCCGGAATGGATTACTGAAGGTATGACATACCTCATACCAAAAACAACTGAAACAGACGACCCGAAAAATTATAGACCGATAACATGTCTCTCCACAACGTATAAGGTGATCACGTCTGTATTGACGAACCGTACTTATTCCTTTCTCGAAACAAATAGCACTCTCCCGCTGGAACAGAAGGGATGCAGAAGAGGTTCATATGGCTGCAAGGATCAACTTCTGATAAATAAAATGATCCTGGAAAATTGCAGGAGACGACGCAGGAACCTAAGTGCAGCGTGGATTGATTATCGTAAAGCCTTTGATAGTGTTCCACATTCTTGGATCCTTAAGACTTTGAAATGTACAAAGTTTCCCCTGTGGTATTAAATTTCCTCAAGCACAGCATGGGAATGTGGAACACCAAACTATACCTTAGTCACACCGGGGGCACTGCCATATCCAACCGTCTGAGTATCCGACGTGGAATCTTTCAAGGAGATTCTCTGTCACCCCTTCTGTTTTGTTTATCCTTAATCCTCTTACACATGAACTGAACAACAGTAGCTATGGTTACAAAATAAATAAGAAAATACTCAATCACCTACTCTACATGGATGATCTCAAACTCTTTGCCAAAGACGACAATGAGTTGAAAGGCCTCCTCAATATTGTAAAATACTTTAGTGACGACATAGGTATGGACTTCGGATTAGATAAATGTGCAAAAGTAACTTTCAAGAAAGGTAGAATTACAGAAACACCCTTAATAGAGTTAGATTTTGCCACAAAGATTAGGGAACTGGTGCATGGTGAAGCTTATAAGTACCTAGGAATTAGCGAAGGAGATGGCATACAACACCCCCAAATGAAGGAAAAAATAAGAAAAGAATACTACAGACGTGTACGTCTGGTACTAAATACTGAGCTGAACTCAAAAAACAGGATATCAGCCATAAACACATTGGCTGTCCCTGTGGTTCAATACAGCTTCAATGTCCTTAACTGGACCATAGCTGAAATTAAGCGAATGGACGCCAAAACGAGAAAGCTACTCACTTGCTATCCCATGCATCATCCCAAAGCTGATGTCGACCGTCTGTATGTGCCCAGATCCGAAGGAGGCAGAGGATTAGTTCAACTAGAACTGTCCTACAAAACTACAACAATTGGCCTCCAAAGATATTTGGAAACTACAGAAGACTGGATGATGGTATGCGTCAAGGAACATGAAAGTAGTAAGCGTCTCTACTCCGTAATGAAGGAAGCCAACAAATTCAAAATGGAGTTCCAAATGGGCGTAGAGATGCAACTACAACAACAATACACCGGCTGAAACTGCAAAATACCTAAAAAAAGATAGCTAAGACGAATGCAACAGACCAGTTACAGAAGCGATGGCACGATAAACCGCTTCATGGCCAATACTCTGCCCGTACCAAACAAGCTGACGTAGACAAAACCTGTACCCATCAGTGGCTACGTAGTGCAGGGTTGAAAGCGGAAACTGAAGGTTTTATCCTTGCTGCGCAGGACCAATGCTTGCTAACTAGGAATTATCAAGCACATATACTAAAATATTGTGTCAGCCCAAAATGCAGATTCTGTGATAAATATCCAGAAACGATTGATCATCTTGTATCAGGTTGTACGGTGTTGGCACCTACTGAATATAAAACTCGACATGACAGAGTGGGCCAATATCTGCACTGGAAAATCTGCAACTTCTACGGGAAGAAAACTGAAAGAAACTGGTATGAACACCACCCAGACCCGGTTACGGAGATAGGACCTGTTACAATTCTATGGGACTACACAATACACACTGACAGAACAATCAAGGCCAAACGCCCAGATATTGTTATTAAAGACCACAAACAAAATCGGTGCCTCCTTATTGATATGGCAGTCCCTGCCGACTGCAATGTATCTTTGAAGATATTCAAAAAGTTGTCAAAGTACAAGGACCTTGAAATAGAAATCGCGAAAATGTGGCATATGGGAACATCAACAATCCCTGTTGTAGTTGGAGCCCTAGGACTGGTTGGAAAAGATTCCAGTAGACTAATTGAAGGGATTCCTGGAAGTCCATGCCTCAAGGAGATACAGAAAATTGTTCTGACAAGTACAGCCCACACCTTACGAAGGGCTTTATCTATGTAATCTTTTTTTTTTTTTTTTTTGTCAGTGGAAAGTGTCATGACGCCATTTCTAACCTTAGGTCCCTGGGCGGGACCCGGAAAGAAATGTGTAAACGCCAGAAATCAAAGAAAATAATAATAATAATAATAATCAATACATTATTAGAAATATTTTTTCATAATAAATAAGACCTGAGTGGAGATTGCTTTGGCAATTGTATCTTCTAGAAAACCTTTTTTTAGCCCTCGATGCGTTCTGCATCTTTGCATTGATATTTTTGGTCATTCTTCTTTGCAGAATCGTTCCAAATATATTCAGATTCGATAGAGTTCGTTTATAAACCGCACCCCCATTCGTGTCACAAATGTTTGATTCGATTGAAGTCAGAGAATTGAGAAGACCATTTCATTTCCGTAAACCTTTTATTCTCCGTAAAACTAATTCTTGGTCGGCTTTCGATTAAGTTTAGCAACGCTGTCTTCTTAGAAGAGGAATTGTCTGACAAGACTAAACACTAGATTGCGGAAAGTAACATATTCTTTTTTTTCAAATAGGCTCTGATATTTTATGTAATCTCTTTATCTCTCAGTTCTCTTAATAGTAACGGTAATTGTCTGTCAGCCCTTTCCGTATAAGGAAACATTCTACATCTTTTCAGTGAACGTTACTCCCGGTTCATACAATCTTTCTCTTGAAACAGTTTTCCAGGCAAAAACGGTTTCTCGAATGTTGCTATTATTGATCTTCCTAATATTGGTAGGAGTTTCCTTCCTAATCTTTTGTTTAAGGTAGAGAATTTCCTGTTATGTGCGGCGTTAAAGAAACTCAATCCAATTATGGGTCTTCCATTATGCTTCATCAGTTGG